CTGGCTCCTGGCTTCAGATCAGTGCAGCTCCAGCTGTAGCGGCCACTTGGGGGGTAAACCAAAGGAAGGTTGGTTCTCTCTGTCTCTCTTTCTCACTGTCTATAACTCTACCTGTCAAATAAATTTAAAAAAAAAAAAAAAAGAAAAAGAAAACCTCCAACTGTTATTGCCATTTCACTCTGCATATCTAGTGCCCCAACAGAGGCTCCATAGGTTTGCAGACACCCAGACGGGAGCCAGTGTTACCAGTGCAGCTCGTGGCCAAACAGTATTTACTGCCAGGTGTGACTGGTTACCATGGTAATCATCACTGGAATCAGTATTATTGCCACATGTGGGGCCCAGACCCTGCCTGAGTGAGATCTCAAGGCAAACTAGTCATACTGGGTGACTGATGGCAGAAGCAGGGAATGAGCTGGTGACTAATCAGGACACAGAAAGCCCAAGGGCCATGCCGGGACTTGTGAGATCCGCAAATCAGAGGCCGTGTCACCCGCTTCCTGTGTAGAGCCTGTGGCTGTCCATGAAGCAGTTCCACCATACACACAGCATTTGCACAGTCACCCTGCTGCTTTGTCTCACGAGCTCTGTTGTGCAGTAACGGCTGTGACACCCATTTTGCAAATGTGGACACTGCTCTCAGAGCACGTGTGACTCGCTGAGGTCACTGCATGGAGGCCAGGCCTTCTGCAGGTGCGTTCAGTGCTGGAGACAGCAGCCACTGTTAGGTACAGCCACCAGAAGCCCAAGGGAAAGCAGCACCAGCCTCCTCCAGAGAAGCCGGGCAGGACCCGAGAGGCCAGGGGCACCCTACGGTCAAACATCAGAGCCCCCACAACCAGAGGAAGAGCAGGAAGCCCGAAGAAGGGGCTGCAGAGCCAAGACTCAAGCAACTTTGATAAGCACTTCAGAAACCTCGCAAGGCAGAACTGTAAAACAGCAGCTCCCCACAGAGGTGCTATCTTCCAAGGCTGCATCACTGGTTGTCAGTGCATTACCCACGTGACCTGGATTCACAGTCTCTGACCTCAGCACTGTCTCCAAGCTACCAACAAAGGGACCAAGTGTCAGGATGGGTGTGTGCCTGGCCCACAGGCAGGCGGGTTAGAAGGGGCAGAGAGGAGAAGAATCACACCCAGGATGGGGGGCCCACGTCCCCCACCATGCTCCGCAGCCTTGCTAAGGCACAGTCCTCTATGTGAGTCCAAGCACCCTACGATCCTCCTCATTCAATACGTGTCCCATCGCATCTTCCTGTGCTTCATGGTCTGCCTGCTTGTGAGTTTTTCAGGAGACAAGGTAGTGGGGGCTCGGCCTGACAGCCCACGTGATAAGAGGAGTGGGTGGCAGGTGTAGCCAGAAAGGTCAGGGTCAGGAGTATGGGCAGAAGACAGGAGGTCCAGAGGCAGAACGCCAATGGACGGCAGGGCTGTGAGGCCCATAGTACTGTTATAGACAAGGAGACAGGAATCAGAAAAAAAGTCAGATGAAATTTGCCACCACACCTTCCCCCAGGGTTGCCTCTACAGCTCCTCCTGTGGCCTTCAATCCAAAATCACCACTGTGAAAAGCTGCTCTCCAAAACCAGCAACAGCCAAAAATACCCAACATGGTTCTGTTGACCATGTTCCCATGATGACCTGTAGCTAATTATCCTGCAATTGCAACAGGATTACCACGGTTGACACTCCTACTCCCATCATACACCTGACGCATGACACTTCCAAGACTTCCTAAAAAGTCTAGGAAACGGGCAGTTGCAAGATTTCTGGAAATCTCCACCCTTTCCTGGAAAACTCTACCCAAAGCAACACCCCATGTATCTCCAGATCACCCCCAACCATGCAGGGCACAGCTCACTGTAGACTTGCCTGTACTCTCTGGTGAGTATGTACTTTTGTGCTTTTTTTTTCTTGTCTTTTAATTAAACTTGTTTCTAACTGACATGATTAAAGTTGTGGTAGAGCCCTTCCCAAGGTCAGAAGAAGAAAAAGGGAGGCACCTGTCCTGGGAATGAAAGACAGTTGTTATCTGCCTGCCTGAGAAGCTTCAACCACAGTTACTGTCTGCTTCTATGTAACCATTCCAGGTTCTGCTTGCTAGTACAGAACAATGGATTTAACCGGCCAGACAGCATGACTCAGTATGTGTGTGGAAAAAACATCATCAATAGCTATGTACACATGGCCATTTTATCAATTTCTGTGGTCACCATGTAACACTATAACATCCAATCAAATGTATGCATGTAGCCATATAAGGGAGACAAAGAGGCTAAAACCTCTTATATACAGGAAATACTCCCGTTTGTTTGGGACTCAGGGTTTTGGATAAGAAGTTCCATCTGGGTTTTATGCTTGTGTTAAATAAAGAAGACTACTTCCTGTTAAAGACCTTGGTGTCTTGTCTCTGTATACAAATCCTACTATACTTCGACTTTGTTGATGCATGTTATTTCTCTGCTAACCTTTATCTAGGTCTCATCCTCAAATTCCTCTGTGCACCACAAATAAGAACCCAGATCCACCCATCCCCCAACTGTGACAGGAGTCAGGTCAGCCCTGGAGAGGGGGCAAGGGTTCTAATCCAGGTGCTCTCACCAGCCAACTGATGCCCTCAGCAAGATCTCTTCACTCACAGAGCCCTGGTGTCATAAGCAAAAGAAGCAATGCCACCTGCTCTTTCTATTTCTACTTCTATTTCACATTAAACACAGGTGTCCACTCTTTCCTGGAAACCTGTGGGACCTGACAACCCCGGGCCCATATTCCAGCAGGATAAGCCGGAGGGAGGCCAGACCCTTCACCCAGGCACACATTCCCAGGTTGCCACAAACCTGCTGGCATCTCCTACTTTTGTCTTAGGGCTGGCTTCTACAGTCAAGAGAGTTTGTGATTAAATGAAGGACTATGGATAAATGCTCACTTTGAATAACTACAAGCCAGGGGTTGGAGGCCTGGCTATGGCCTGCTGACTGCTAGAAACATCTAGCAAGCGAATTTGATGACCTGGAATTGAAAAACCATTGACTATGACCTGGCAGCATTTGCCTGGCCCTGTGGGCCACCAGCTGACTAGAAGACCTCCTGCCTTCACCTGATGGATGAGCTTCAAAGTTCCCAGGTTCATCTGTCGTAACTCTGAGGGCTTAAAAAACAAAGGCACCTGCCATCTTTGCTCCAGAGTAGTGATGGGATGATCATGAATGGGTGCGATCTTCAAATCCCACAGACAGGCAGGCCCAGCCTCAGGCACCCCGGGAACTATCTTAGAACACCACCCAGAGCAGGGCATGAAATGCCAATGAGGGCTCCATTGAAAAGTTCATAGAAATGGATAGGAGGGAAAAACTGCACGGATTGCAATTTTTTTGGTACCAAAATAAACATCTTTTAATTCCATCTTTCCATGAACTTTCCTATACCTTGAAGTGCAATTTAAGTCTGTGAGTTGCTTTTCTTAAGAGCACGTATAGCTTGGGAAGATAAAAGACTTCCCAGCTCACGGTGGTGCAGCTCTCAAGAGGAAAAGCAAGGCAGGCCTCAGCGAGGCCCCGTGAGCACAGCCATCCATCCCATGTTGTGTCAGCCCTGCAGGAAATTAATTTTTAATGCCCAAATAAATGAATGTGTCCACTGGTGTAATGCTGAAAATTCCTAGCAACAAGCATTTCTTAGAGCTGAGGAAGGTTTCCAAGCCCTGAAAAGTGCAAAGATGTTACCTGGGGGACATCTAACACATTATGAAGAGAGTCACATTTAATGCCTTCGGGCATTACTTAAGATCGGATTGACAAGAGGGAATGTGGACTGGCAAGTTCCATGCAGCAAAAGGATGGAAGCGTCCAAGCAGGAAGACCGGGGTGTCAGGGGACAATGAAGAGACAGGAGTGCAACAAACAGGAACCCGGGCTGAAGACAGCTCCCCCTCTACCAGAGACCCCAGGCCAACAGGAGGGCCATCCCAACCTTCACACCCCTCCTTCCTCCCTGCAACTGACACCGCCTGTGGTCCCAGACGGCTGTGCAGATCTTGATGGATTATTAAAAGGACTGCTTTAACCATGGTTGAAAGACAGTGGAGAAAAACTTAAAGTGGCTACTTTAACACTTCTATAAAACACAGACATTTCCACCTCATTTCATACTCCCCCCAACACACGCACATACAAACACACACACACACACACACACACACATGCTCGCAATACCTCCTACCAAAAGCATTAACATGAATTTGCACCAAAGTAAAACGAAAGGTCTAGTTATTTTGGCCTGCTATAGGAGGGTGCAAAGAGCCAAACTAGGTGCCAAGAGAAGAGCCCACACCCTGCATCTAAGTCACTGCCACTAAGACACACAGAATCACTGCGAAGGCACCGCCTTCATCTCCTAGTTCCCAACTGGCTGCCTGCTGTGAAGGCTGCACGATGGGAGACTATAAAATATCTCTTTCCTCAGCATTCCTGAGGGGAGGGAGAGAAACCATCAGAGTGCAGGCAATGACTGTCACCCAGAGGACAAAGCCATCAAAGGCGTATTTCCAAATGAAATTGTGTCCTGCAGTTTCTACAACCAAAACGTCAGCTGTGCCAGAAAAACTAATGTGAGTAGATTTATATATTAAATTAAGGTGAAAAGGAAAAACCAAAAAATAATTTATGACAATAATCATTGGGTGCAGAAAAACAGATGCACACAGCTCACACTGGGTTACTCTACTATACAGAAACAATCCCGTTTCTCCATACAAAAAAGCTTTCTGCTTTATGACCAGTGAAAAGGCGTAAGAGGGGGCACACAGAACCCAGTACCAGCTCCACTATGTGAAGTGTCTTCATCTGCCTCTGTTCTGTCGAGTCATCTGTATTGCTACAGGTTCTGAATCCCCCAAATCTCTCTCGCTCAACCTGCTCACTCCCCCCAGTAAGCCAGGACAGGAGGTCAGGACTGCTGATGGTACTGCTAGGAAAGATCGTGAAGGAGGAAGAAGCACCTTACCACTTCCGGGAGCAGCTTCGTTGAAAGGTCATGGATGGCTTTGACCACTATACATATGGATGACAGAAGGAATATCACCCCTAAGATGACACAGGCTCTGCAGAAAAAAAAAAAAATACAAAAAACATTGAGATTCTTTACTGGGAGAATTCCACGTGGCTGGGAAGTTGACACAACAAAGATGACCAGGACAGAAGCTGGGAGTCCAATGCAACTGTTATTTGCCATACCCCCATGGTGACTCCCCACAATCCCAGTCACCTCAGGAGAATACAGCTCAGGGTTTTAGCAACAATGTCAAAATCTATGGCAAAGAGGCTCGCCACGCTACACAGTCTCAGGGCATCCCGCAAATGCTGGCAGGCAAGGGTCCCCAGTGCCATGATATCCACTCCTGACCTGGGAAGCCACGTGCTTCCTTACATCCCAGGCTGAATGGCAAAGAGCAAAGACACCTTGAGCTCTATTGCTGACTGGTCAAGGAGCTAACCCCTACCCAGCCTTTGTTTCCTTACCTTCCAAATCAGAATGATATTTCCTGCCTCAGAAGATGGGACTTGATGCACAAAACAGAAAACTATAACCCATTCATGTGGGCTTACTCAAAGGCAAAGTGTGCTTTGAATGTTTCCAAGTACGACATGATAGGATACTTTGGATTTTCTTTGTTCATTACTTCTAACTTTTAATTTATTTTATTTACTTGAAAGGCAGAGCAGCAGAGAAAAATCAAATCCTCCATCTGCTGGTCTACTCCAGAAACATCTGCAACAGCAAAGACTGGACCAGGACAAAGCCAGGAGCCTCAAACTCCATCCAGGTCTCCCAAATGGGGTCCAAGTATTTGATCCATCACTTACTTTCTACCAGTGCATTAACAGGAAGCTGGACAAGAAGTGGAGGAGCAAGGGCTTGAACCAGCATTCCAACAGTGAACGCAGGCATCCCAAGCAGTGGCTCAATCTGCTGTGCCCCAGCACTTCCCCCTTCCCCATACTGTGGATTTCATCAAGACAAAAAGGGGGAATGATTTGGCAGTGATGAAAGACAGAGCATGGATGTTAAGACGGATGGATTCAGAAATGGAAGGAAGGAAAGGTGAAGTCCACCAAAACACCCAGCATAGCATGAGGCAAGTGAGGGTGAGGCTCAGGCAAACCAGAGGGCTCCCAGCTGGGAGTGGGGAGAGGGCCAGGAAGGCAGCCTATGGGCTCTCAGGACAGACACAACAAACCTCCAGAGCCAACCAGTGAGGGCTGCGTAACACAAGAGAAAACCACCAAATGAAAATGGAGAGAAGAAACGCCCACCGACCGCTCAACATCATTCCTGTCCCAGCCTGACGCCTCTGCCACATGGCAGCCTCCTTCAGTCCTGTCCCTCCAGCCACCGAATCAGCTTCCCTTCACTGTCTTGGATTCCCTTCTCGGACCTAACAGCACAGCCCCAAACTGCCCACCTCACGTGGAAGTGGCACTCGCTCACAATCCTAACAAGGCCCCCGGTACAGAAGTCAGGAATAAAAGCAAGTCAATAGGGCTGCTCGAGTCTGCTCACTAGGCTTCTAATCCACACTGGAGTTGTAGGTTTTATATTAAAAAATACAAAATGAATGAGTCATAACCGATTGTGGCAAAACACCAAAAAAGAACCCAGAGATGGAAGAAGAAGTGCTGACTGGGCGGGGGATCTAGGGACAGACTTGAGGAAATGAATGAGCTGCCAGGGTGCCGGGAGTCCCCATAATGAGCCCCGAGTGAGAAACATACACGCCAGGGAAGGAAATGCTAATTCAGGCAACCAGCACGTGCTGGTGCAGCTACTGCGAGACAGTGTGTCTGGGGCTGGCAGCCACAGTTCTGCAAGGCCATCAGGGATAAAGACGCTGTGGAGACAGGGATGCATGGAGGAGCACGGGGCACCTGCTGGAGGGCCCACGGGTGCCAAGGTAACAGCGCAAGAGTGAGATGCCTGGGATGTGGAGTCCAAGGCTCCCACACAACTGGCTCCTCACTACCAGCTATGTGCATTCCAAAGGCCACTAGGGAGCAGCTAGCTGTGCTGGGCGCTAGGGGTCACCATCTCTACCTGTGAACAAATGGGCCACATGAGGTCCCAGTGCAGGAAAGCAGCCTATAGCCAGGCTGAGTCTCCAAGGCACATTCTGCAACATGGTTTCCCCTACCCCTCTCCATTTACAACCTTCCTGAGAAACTGGCAGGGAGTTTCTCTTTGGTTCACTATTTCCGGTCAGTTCCGCCAGCATCTCAGCACCTCCCAGCTCTGAGGACACCTGTTCCTCACCTTGGAAGCTTCATTTTTTTTTTTTTTATGTTGCCTGGAGACAATTTTAGTCCTGCTCTAGCGGCAGTGAATCCAGATGGGTGCATTTGTTTAGAAGCTCTGGACAATTCTAAGAACGTGGGCTTGCACCCAGGTGAGGCCCTGCCCCTGCGGAGCTTCCACTGTGAGGGTAAAGCACACAGCAGCCCCCCAGGAGACAGGCAGGGAGGCGTGGTCATCCCGGCCGTGAGGATGCAGTGGGGTCTCAGGGCCCCTAAGAGGCTTTGCAGAGCACCTGTTTACTGCCCAGCTTTCTCTCCCTGAGCGATGGGGGCAGCCACCACTGTCTGCCAGACCACCTACAGGCAACTTGTCACCACACTCTCAAGGGAGCCTCCAGTCCACACTGCCAGCGGGGGAGACAGAGCAAGCACCTGGGCTTCTCCCTAATGGGGAAGAGCGATGCTGTGGGAACCGGCTTTCACATCACTACAGCGCATGACAGTCCAGTCTGGGTTCTGTTTACCTCATTAAGGAGGCAACTGCGATGGATACAAGGGCCTTGCTACATAATTTCTGGTCTATAAATCTTTCATGAAAACTACACTCCTTCAGGGCAAGAGCCCGATTGCTCAGTGTCTTTAGGGGCATGAAGCAGGTGCTCCCTGCTCCCGCAGAGGGGATGTCATAAGCAGCCGATGCATCCCTGATTTGTACATTTCTCCATGCACTCTAACGGGGCACCCAGCACTTACCAGTGGGCACAGGAGGAGGAATGAGACTCCTTGCACTCCAGCCAGGCGCCCCTGCAATAGCCCACACAGTTATGCAACACCAGAACAGAGCACACATCAAAAGAAATCTGTGACTTGGCTTATGAAAGCCGATTTTAAATTAATGTGATTTAGAAGTTGGAGACTTCAAGATGGCGGAATAGGGAAGAAAATGGGCTGCTTTTGAACAGGGGAACGTAGCAGAAGAAAAGTGGAGCGAGTGCATTCCTAGGGGAGAGTTGGAGAGAATTTTGCAGCAGAAATTCTACAGAAGGAAGAGGGACGCCGTGGAGCAGCGTAGAAGGTGCACACAGCAATGCGCGCAGCCACCACACACAGCCCCCCACAGCCGCGACCTGGAGGTGATGCCAGCTTTGGAGAGAGAGGTAAAAGCACAGTGTGGTAACCTGGGCCACAGGTGATACTGCCTGAGGGACAGTCTCGCAGCCCACCCTGGAGCCCCAGCAAGAAGAAGGGCATCAAACTGGTCCACTGAAAGAAAAGTGCATTTCTTTCTCCCCATCCCCTCACGAGGGCATCCAGCAATGGACGGGGAGAAGGGGTTGTCTTGACACCAGTAGAGGCTGCAGCAGCATTTGTGTGTGCATGTAACCAGGGGATTTTACCAGAGGGAAAAAGCTGTGCTCCCCACTGACTTTGAGTCTGGTTGGGAAGGTTGACAGGGGGCTGGGCACCCACATAGGCCTGTGAGGTGCCCCCATTCTCTCAACACATTACAGGCTCTGGAGTTCAGGCTGCCAAGGTGGAGCAACCACAGACAGCTGGCTTGGAGAACACCTCTGCCTCTCCGTGGATCCTCTGCATCCCATGCCTGTGGGAACCTTGCATGCTCTGACTGAGAATTCCGCGACTACACGATAGACCACAGGATATAGCTGCGTCTCTGGGCACTCACTGTGTCTGGTGTCAGAGGCTCGGTGCTCTATGACCGGGGTGGGTCATCTCAGAGGGTTCTTTGCTCATGCTGAGGTCCATACAGACCCTTTGTGCAGTTCATGCGCCAGCGTGGATGGGGGTTTACCCACTGTGTGCTAACCCTGGACACTGATCACCTTGTAAGGAAAGAGGTTGTGATTAGCCAACAGGCATGATCATACCCTCTCCCCTGCTGAAAATAGAGATCCACCACACCCAACTTGGATGCCATCCTGGATACTTGCCTCTCCGCCCAACCCAGAGCACTGACGAGAGCTCCCTGGCCTAACCCAGTACATGTCCTGGATATTCACTGGAAGAGCAGACACTCCACTAAGCCACAGAAGCATAGTTCAAGGATAAAATCCATCAGAGGAGAAAACCAAGTATTTCTACAAATGCCTAAAAGCAAAAGCAGAAATTCAAAAACAAAAATAAGGAAAACATGACTCTCCCAAAAAATACACAGCACTTCAATATTAGAAAGCAAAGACAAAGAGGTTGATAAAATTCCTGAAAAGAAATTCAAAAGATTGATCATAGTATTACTGAGAAGCAAATTCATGAGTTATAGAATCCTTACATGATATGGGTGAAAAATTTTTCAATGAGATTAAGATCTTGAAGAGAAATCTCTGTACTTAGTACAGGGTTAATCTTATGTGTATAAAGTTAATTGAAGATAGATCTTCGTAATTTCATAAAATTGTATTTATGAAATGCATGAAGTTTGTATACCTTAACTAAAAGTTTTCTGGGGAAAACATATTAAAGATATCTATACATGAAGAATTCAATATGTCAAATAAAAAATACAGTGGAAAGCTTTAACAACCAATTTGGTGAGGCAGAAGAAATAATATCCAAGCTAGAAGACAAATCTTAGGAAATATCTCATATAAAAAAAGAAATCAGAAAAATTAAAAGCAATTCGAGATTTATAGGATACTATCAAATGACCCAACACAGGGGTTTTAGGAGTTCCTGAGGTGTAGAAAGAGAACAGATTAGAAGGCTTATTCAGTGAAATAATTACAGAAAATTTCTCTAGTTTGGATAAAGAAAGGGACATCCAAGTATAGGAAGCACATAGAACTCCTAGTAG